TTAGCTTTAAGACAAGCAGATTAGTGCATAAGGAGAAACTAAGAGGTTGAATTCGAAAGCCAAATATATAATAATAAATAACTGTCGTCTATGAGATTTGAAAACAATAGGTCGTTAGAGTAAATAGTCATTGACATTTTCTTGGTTTTTTTGAGATTTAATGATTTGGATTTTTGTTATTTCTCGATGCAGAGTCCAGATGGTGATGTGATAGATTGTGTTTTATCTCATCTCCAACCAGCTTTTGATCATCCTGAGCTCAAAGGAAAGAAGCCATTGGTAATTTTCAAGAACAATATGTCAATAACCCTTTTCAACTTTGTCATCATTAACTTGTAAATTTATAATTAGGGGACTAATTACGACAGTGATTTTACTTTTACAGGAGGAACCAGACAGGCCCAAAAGCTATAACGGCACAGATAAAGTGGGAGAGAGCTATCAGGTATGGGCAGACTCCGGTGAATCATGTCCGCAAGGAACAGTTCCGATCCGGCGGACCGGAGAGAAAGACATTTTACGAGCAAGCTCCATCCAAAGATTCGGAAGAAAGCCGATAAGACATGTGAGGAGAGACTCCTCAGGCAGTGGCCATGAGGTTAGTCATTTTTTTCATTCGAAAATAATGAGAATAATGAAGGATTAGGCGAGCAAAACCACGCAATAATATGTTCACTTTACATTGGGTTGAATTTTACAGCATGCAGTTGTGTTTGTTAATGGGGATCAATACTACGGAGCAAAGGCTAGCGTCAATGTGTGGGCGCCACGTGTCACTGATCAGTATGAATTTAGCTTATCACAGATTTGGGTCATCTCTGGTTCTTTTGGCAATGATTTAAACACCATTGAAGCTGGATGGCAGGTATATGTCCTTTTAAGCAGATATCGTCGTGTTCATACTTCTTCTCTTAATATTGCTTGTATATTTCAATTTTTTTTTTTAAATTGCTTGTATAAAAACTTATGATTTCGTGTTTGTTAATTGCCAAATTTAAGATTTTCCTTTTAAATTTTTTCCCAGGTTAGTCCAGAGTTATATGGAGATAACTATCCAAGATTCTTTACATACTGGACAGTAAGTTCTATTAATTAATTTTTTTTTACTAATTAGATTCTTCCGTTTCTCATCTGCATGGAGAATTAAGACATAAATTATGAGGAAATAAGTACAATTAGTACTAATTTGATGCTTCATTATATGTTTATAGACAGATGCATATCAAGCAACTGGATGCTACAACTTGCTTTGCTCAGGATTTGTCCAAACAAATAACAAGATTGCAATTGGAGCAGCAATCTCCCCAAGGTCCTCTTATGGTAGCAGACAATTTGATATTGGTTTGATGGTTTGGAAGGTGAGTTTTTCAAGTCAACATTCACATAATTAATTATTTTAATATTCAAACCTAAATACAACAAAATTACACTCAAATCAATATATGATGAAAATACAGGCATAAGATTAGTTAAGTTGGCCCGAGAATGTTTTTTTTTTGCACTCAACTTCTATCCTCTCTCTCTCTATAGCTTACATAAAAAATTTCATTTATATTTATTATGAAAATTAAGATTTGGTGTAAACCAAACGTAATAGCGTTTTAACATTCATATAGCATACTTCATTTAATATGATTAGACTCGGTTATTGTTGTTGTTATCATGAAAATTCAGTTTGTTACCTTCAGGTATAAGGTTGCCAAAAAAAAAAAAAGAAAAAAAATATTTGCTGCTTTGGAAAAAAAAACTCCTTATAGAATTTTCATCATCTAATCCACTTGCAAAAAAGCCAACCGCACCTTTCAATTGACATCAATTTCTTTCCTATTTTCCTCCAGTATTTTTTTATTTATAGACTCAGATTCGTTTCCTTAGAAGGGCTTTTCTACGTAGGGGTTTCACTCAAATTGTGTGTTTTTGAATCAATTTATTCGTCACTGCACATACAACTCTATTTACTCCGTATATATCGATTCTGGATTTTTAGAGTTTATATTGAATAAATTAAAAAAGATGAAAAAGATGAAAAAGAAGTGAGAAAACTCTTCAAGTAAGGGACAAAAACTCATCATATCAACCCCCACAAAAAGTGACAAAAAGTTAAACCCATCATTATTCAGTCCGAGAAAACATTGCAAGACAAAAACAACTTATTGATCACAATCATTTTGTTCTAAAATAAAGTTAATCAACATGTAATTATGTTGTAATTTAAATTTTACAGGATCCAAAGCATGGACACTGGTGGCTAGAGTTTGGAAATGGGCTCCTAGTCGGATACTGGCCAGCATTCTTGTTCAGTCACCTGAGGAGCCATGCAAGCATGGTGCAATTTGGGGGTGAAATTGTAAATAGCAGATCTAGAGGATACCACACATCTACACAAATGGGAAGTGGACAATTTGCAGAAGCAGGGTTTGGAAAAGCATCTTATTTCAGAAACTTGCAGGTTGTAGATTGGGATAACAATTTGCTTCCACTCACAAATCTCCACCTCCTGGCTGATCACCCTAATTGTTATGACATAAGACAGGGAAGAAATAATGTGTGGGGAACTTACTTTTACTATGGTGGTCCTGGAAGAAATGTGAGGTGTCCATGAATATAATAGCAGCATAGTAATTTTTGTTTATTTTTCTTATTTTTTTGTGTTTAGGTATTGGTTATTTTTTCTTTCTAGTTCATAGTAGAGGGAGATTTTTGTGTTTGGACGCCTGTATAGGGCACTAGACAAAAGGGGATGGGTAGGACCAAAATATAAGGAGTGTGGGGGTGCTTTGTGTGTGTAGTTTGGCCGTTTGCACCTAAGAATTTATCCAGAGCAGGGTTTTTGTTGTATTTTCCAGTTTTCTTTTAAAAAAAAAGTGTTGGTAGTTTTGCATTGGCTCCATAGTGTTTCTCTGTTTCTTCAATTTTTTTCCACGAGAAATGAGAGTACATAAGCATAGGTTATGAACACATCAGAATAAAAAAGGAGAGCGGGACTTAAAAAATCTAGGGGTCGTTTGATAATCATTTTGTTTTCATTTTTTTAATTTTTAGTCTTCATTTAAAAAAAAACTAAAAACCGTAAAGATTTGACTTGGCATGTTTGATAACTATTTTCTGTTTTCAAGAAAATGAAAATTGAAAGCCAAAAAGTGAAAATTATAAAAACTGGAAATGAAGTGATTATCAAATAGCTATTTAGAAAACGAGAAGTGATTTCTCACACTCTCTCACTTTGCACATTATTATTTATTCTAACTTTTAAATTGAATAAATCAAAAGAGTAACAAACAAAATAACTAAAAACAAGAACGTGTATAGAAAAAGCGTGTGCAAGAATTACTTCTCTTGAAAAATCCACACTGCTTTTGAGTCAAAACTTTCTTGCTCCCAAGCAAATTTGATGCATGATATTTTATGCATTTTATAGGTAAAGCAAATCCTTAATCCAAGGCAAAAGCAGATGGGTAGCAACAAGGAAGCAAAGTGTAAACAAATACAGCACACATGACAACCACTTAACAACTACTTGGAACTTCTTTTCTACCATTATAAAATCATTGAAGGAAAATAGTGACATTAGAGAGATTTTTCAGTGTTAACGGAAAACGGTCAGGTACAACAAGCGTAATAAATAGAAAATTTAAAAAAAAAAATTTCAACCAATTGTACTATAACACTTAGCGTATAGGATCGTATTCTCGGCACACTGAAAATGTTCTTGTGACATTAACATATAGTTGTCAACCCCAAGAACTGCTAAATAGTATAAGTTTGCATTCCCAGCCAAGCTTTTTGCTCCTAACAATACATTTTTTTTTTTCTTTTCCTTTTTGTTTTTGTGGTCCTTTTTTTTATTGGTTGAAAATGACCACAGAGTGTACCTACTTGAGGACCGGTGTGCAGTTGTGTGGATGGAAAACCTACCTAGTCCATACTTCAACAAATGCTTAGTGACACATCACCATCTGTTCATGCTTAAGCAAGGAAACAAGGACATAACTTATAAATTAGGAAAGATCTATTCACACGCCTCTTTTTATCTCGTACACATTCTTGGTAATTTTTTGTCATTGATCTTCTTTAATTCATTTGATTTGATGGTCGAAAATTGAAAAATATGTGTGAGAGGTAAAAATAAGTGTGTGAATAAAACCATCCATATATTATAGGGCAAAGCATAACTTTGGTCCATGTGGTTTGGACAAAGTTTTACTTTGATCACCAGAGTTTCATTTGTCGCGATTTAAGTTTCATACATTACGTTTGATGGAAAACATTAGCTTGGATAAAATAACTCATTATATTCAAGACATATTGAGTGAAAAAAAAAAATAGACGGTTCCACTTCAACGTTACGAGTATTCGATGGTCTGCATCATGGGACCACAATAAAAACAACACTCCGAACCAATCCAGGTCATCCATTATAGTGAGTTATCTTATCAGCCTAATCCTCTCTATCAAATGTAGCGCCAGTGTACTAATTGTTGCTATTCAACAAGCGGCACGGTGCGTGTATGTTTATTTATACGTATACCCTCACATTTTCATACATGTTAATTGTCAAAAAGCCTGACGAGATTAAGCTATTATCCTTAAATTACAACCATTAGTAAACTACATAACTTAAATCGCAAAATTATAAGTCACTCGGTACTACGGTCTGATGATATTCCCCTTCACTTGGAAGTGTGAGGTCTTAGATTCGAATCTCATGGATGACGAATTTGATACCAAATTAGGTTGCCTATTGTGTGGCTCAGCCGAACTCCCCCTCCTTTTTAATGTAAAAATATCGATATATTAAAAAAAAAAAAAGCGAAATTATAAGGGCAAAAGTGGAATTTTGACAAACTACAGACAACAAAGTCAATGTTTGGCCTACAAAATACATGCAAATGTAAAAACACCACAAGACGGTTAACGTGAAAGCAAGTAATGAAACGCGTTAATAAGATTTACCACTTCCTATTAACCACGTTTAAACATCATTAAAGTCTAAAGCAAGATTCAAAGTAAAGCAAGCTGAACTGCTTAATCATCATATGAATTTCAGTCAAGTAGAACATATATACAGAGGTGCAAGGAGGAAAAGAAAATATAGATTCATAGAATGATACCAGTGAATTCACCGACTCGGTAGAGTTGTTCAAACTTCAGTGAGTTAGCACGAAGACAATAAGAATCAGCAACTTCAAAGGCAAATACCACTCATAGGGTTTTCCAACCACTGTTCTTGTTATTTGGATCCCACAACCGAAGATCAAACCTTCATAAACCGAATAGGCAGTGCTGCAGGAAGATCATCAAACCTTCATATGCAAAGTAGGCAGTGCTGCAGGCAGATTGTCAGACGTTCATAAGCCAAATAAGCAGTGCTGCAGGCAGATTTATATCTTGGCGTTGTCCAAGTAGTTCACCTTGGACATCTTGTAGCGGGATATCAATTCTCATTTAACTGTTTTCATTTTTAAATTAGACAGCGAAAAATCTTGCAGTTCAAACACCCACGAATTCTGCAACAGCATGCTCTACAAATTTAACAAGATCACTGGCAGTAGAGACCTCAGAGCTACAAGTTCCTAGAATTTCCATGTACCTCATATCATCTAACCAAGCTTTCTTTGTATTGTAATTCCAGTCTGGTTCCATGTGTACCATCCCATATTGTCTTCCCAAAACAGTACAAAGTTTAGAGAACTCGGGATCATTTAAGGCTTCCCGGAAATCCAAATGAAATCCATGACTTCCTGTCTGATCTTCCATAGATTTTATATTCGATGCAATTTTTTGAATTGATGCAAGGTTGAAAGTGAAGTTCTGAGCTATTGGGGATGAATTCCGAGTGTGATTTCCATTCTTTCTAGCAAGATAACAAAGTTGGATCAAGTTGGCCAGAGAGAACCGTGCTAGGAAGATTAAGAAATCACTAAAGTTCATGCCTGCATTAAAAGAAAAAAATTAGCAAGCAGATTAGGATTTTTTTCCTTTTCTTTTTCTAAAACCCCTTGTTCTCTTCCGGACGCTAAGTTTATTCAGTAGCTATGATTATGTCCAAGTGCTTCGGATTTGTCACTGGGAAATTTAAACAAGCTTTAAGTTATTGCATGTTCAGTTTGCAATTTACCTGTATTAGCGGCAAGGTTCCGCTGGCAGAGACCTTCAAAATCATCACATATATCCTTGATGTCTTCTATGTACTCCTTAGCCTCGTAGTAGTCCCTCAAAAGTAAATCCCACTATAATTTAATATATACAAATTAGTGCCACTAGAACACTAGCATCATTAGTTTTACATGGAGCGGTAGAAATTTAACACACAATATACTCTGGCAGTAGTGTTCCACTTACCACCCAACGAATATTATAAGCATTGAACCAGTTGTGGTTTATGGAAATTGTATCTTCCTGAAAGTATTATGAACACAAATAAGATGAAAAAATTCCGTTCATCAAGCATGAAGATAGTTTTGTTTTGATTGACATACAGACTACAGTGTCTTCCTACAAATAGAAAAGTTGTGATGGAGAGTAATTTACTCGGAAAACCTCTTATAATCATTGCAAACTTTCAGACTTCTATTTTATGATTGGGCGAAGCAAACTTGAAGAAATAGAAGAAATACCAAATTATGGACTTGATGATACCATCCGCTAGGCACAAAGATAATCTCATTTGGTTCTTGAATGCACTCCAACCAGATAGCCTGCTCAATAGAAGAATATACGGTTTCAACACCAAAAAAGCTGCAAAAATACAACTAGACAAAAGAAAACTTGACGATATAGATTGATGATTTACCTTTGCAAAACCAGGAACATTAGTTTCACTAACATCATCAAAAATATTATATACACAGCTTTTCATATTCCTGAAGGTCAAGAAAGGGTAAGAAAGAGAGAGAGTTCTAAAATATGCTTCATTAATCAAAGCAATACACAAATGTCCCAGACTCCCAATGTAGATATCTCTGATTCCTATTAGCGCAGGAAATTGTAAACTTGCCTGCCAAACACAAGATGACTTTGAGAAGGAGAGAGGAAAAGCCACCGTTTTTTGCCACACACATTCGCTGACCAGCTATATGACCTGAAAACATCAGCATGAAGAGGAGTCCAAGTGCCTGCATAAACCACAGAAAGGGAGCTAAATCTCCTTGAAAATTTTGACTTAGATCATATCTATGACTAGAAAGTGAGAGAGACTGAATGAATGTATCACAAATATTCTCAAACCTTTTGCTCCCATGTAAACGAAACGATAATCAGAGCAACTTATTTCGTTATTTTCTGAGTAAATGTTGGGATCATTATGCATGTGATAATTGTCAAGATACATGTTGAGCCAATCATCACAAAAGAGCACCGGAGTTGTGTAGGCTTCGTATTCTGGGTACTCCTGGAGATCAGAATACCAAAGGATGATAGAACAAGTCAGGCGACTATGCTAGAAAATTTTGAGATGTTACCTTAGACTAGACACACTGATATGCGCAAAGCGATAGACTCTCAAAGCTGATATGTCCCAACTAAATATACAAAGCCCCCATACACCCAAGGCAGACAGTAACAAGGATGTCAAAGCATAAAATCACCAGGAAACTAACTCCTCAACTGCTCCATAATTCCCCATAAATAAAGGGTGAATTCAAAGTTTCTAACTAGCACCTTAACAAAATGCCAGTCCTTCAAATATAGCAACTCCTTGCTCGTAGCTTCATGACTTGAAGCATTACTATGCTCCTGAACGGGGTCCCATTGCTCAACAAAGTCCGCAACGGTCATTTCCATTCTCTTCTGATCTGTGAATTCTCTAGTACCACAATCTGCAACCTATAAGTGACAAAATATCACCTCACCTTAAAAAGATCAAACATACAAAGACTGAACCTTTAAAGTATTAATTCTACTACAAAACTACAGAAAACAAAACAAAATAAAAGGGGCGGCGAGCTAGCTAATAAGCCTAATTAGGATTGATTCCTCTAATTAGGATTAATTCATCTAACATACTTCTTATTATTACAATCACACAACACCTAAAAAACTACTTAACATTGCAATATTACACCAAAAATTCAAAGCCTGAATCTTTAGCAACAGAAACCAAAACAGGGGCTGATAGGTTAGCTAATATCTAATTACCACATAGCCAATCTTCTTAATTGTGATTAATTCCTTCTAAACACACTTCATAATTCATATTTAATTTCACTAAATCTAGTACCTGAACTTTGGATTTTCCGAAATGGGTAGCGAAAAATTGAAGATTTGGCTGGCCATTGTCGGTGACCCAATCTCTGCAAGCCCTCCAATCGTCCATGAGACCTGTGAGCACCACAGGCTGGTTCTTCTCCATGTACCTCTCCACGAACTCATTGTACCCCACTTTTTTCCCGCTCACCTTCTCTATTAGCCCCCCAATTTGAACACCCATGTTTTCTTCTCCCAGCTTATGCTACTCCAGCGAGTTAATTCGGATTTCGTACGTTCGGTTTCTCTGCTCGCCCTCTTTGATTTGGGGAAGACGACTTGAGTTGGGCCAGGCCGGGCCGGGGAGGCCCAAAGTGCTTTTAAAGGGCCCCAATTTGGCCGAAGAATGATTTTACGAGGGGTAACATTGGTTGTGATCTATTTACCAAAAAAAAAAAAAAAACAACGGCTGTGATCAGTTTGTTATTTAGTACTAAGGTGTAATAGTATTATTTTTCACTTATAAAGAGCATCTTCAAAGGAGATGTCGAAAATAATATATCAAAATTATATTTGATGGCTAATGCAAATTGAATACAAATGCTAAATCATTTTCTTTTCCAATAGTTGTGTCAAATATATATTTTATTATTTTATTGGGCTCAGAGTTTCATTAACTATTAAAAAATAATCAAAATTAATTTTAGTTTTTATTCTATAGGTTGTTAATAGGACCCATGAATTAAAAATTTTAAATTAAAAATATTTGACTCCTTCTTTGTTTGCTGTCAAAAAAGATAACTAGAAAGTAAGGAGTCAAATGACTCAACTGCCACATCATATTTGGCATATCCATTGGAGAATGCCTGAATGTCTTTTAATCCTATTTGACATGTCTTTTGGAGATGGTCTTAGGTTCAAATGTAAATAGTGAGTTCGAATCTCTATTTATATTGTGTGCATGACAACTCATAAAATGTTCAACACATAATTCATCTTGATTTCGAGTCATGTATTGTTTCATGTCTGAAGTTACTATATATAAATTTAAGAATCTGTAATTTAATAATTTTCTCAATTCAATTTTTTCCTTATGAAATTAGGAATTGAGAGACGTAATGCAGTACTATTACATCTCTTTTTTTTTTTCTTTTTAAAAAAATGACCAGTTGATGGTTTTGCTAAGGCGGTCCATCTTTTTAGGGGCTAGAACTTCTTTTAAAATACCAACTTTCCCTCACCTATGTCTCACATGTCTTAATTTGTAATAAAAAATAATAATTAAGCGTTGTTCTTTACCTGTAACAATTAGTAGATTACAATAACTTTATTTGCATCAATTGAAACCATACAAATAAAAGTGAACTCTGGCAAACTACAAGGACCAAATTATAATAACTCATTGTTCTCCAAAATTCCAAGTGAATGACAAAAAGGGACTCCAACGGGTACCCGTTGTGGCGAAATTTAAAATTAATTTTTTTACGTGATTGTGCGTGATTGGCTTAGAGCACATGCAAACTCCAGAACTGATTAGTCCTTTTCCTTGTCGGCAGAGATGTATCTTTTCCCGCACGAAACCGAAATAAAACTCACAACCCTACTCCTAAACGGAATAGGTCCATCTCTCTAGTTGCCTATAAAATACCAAAGCCCCTCGCGTCGTGTCAAAGTTCACTCTTCACAACGTTTGAAACTCCCAAAACCTTTGTTGACGATCGACGAAACCGCCAAAATCCAAAACCAAAGAAGCAACAACAATGGCGCCTCCGAGTCCATCTGCTCCTGATCGTTCTCAGCCCTCTTCGTCTTCGGACCCGTACGTATTCCTATAGCCATCTGTTATAGCTATTGCAGTTCGTATTAGCATCTGTTTGTTTTCTAAAAATAAATCAACTTTTAAAACTTTTATCAAACTGAATAATGAATAGGGTTAATTAGGGTTTAGGGTTTATGGCAGTGTACATGTGTGGATGCTATGTTGATTGTTATATATATATATATATATATATATATATTTTATTTTGTCAATTTGATACAAGCGATACTATACTTTAAACTAATCTAACTATGGGGAGGGAATTCAAACTCAGTGCACATGGTGGGAGCACATCCGCTTTAGCCAGTCTTGAACTCAAAAGATTCAACCTTTTTTTCTCTGAACCATATTTATGCAGTTACACCGGGATTAAGTAAGATATATGCTCTATACACATGGATGATTTACTGATTAGTTTCCAAAGCATACTCTTGTACCGCTATGTGTGCATTGTTTGGTTTTAGTAGGGGGATATAACACCATTACAAGTTTGTAGCGCAAAATTACCGGAGAGTTCTTGTTTAACTTTTGGCAGAAGTCTTCTATTGCAGGATTGTAGTTTTGAATGAGAAGATTTGATTATTTGTTGGTTTTGATGAGTACTTCGTTACGAGAAACTAAAGTTTTTATTTTCAAATACAGGAAGAGCAACAAGAAAGATTTTTCGACTGCTATCTTGGAACGAAAGAAGTCTCCTAATCGACTTGTTGTCGATGAAGCTGTCAATGATGATAATTCTGTGATTTCCTTGCACCCTGCTGCACTGGAGAAGCTTCAGTTTTTCCGCGGAGACACTGTTTTAATTAAGGTATATTTTGCTCTTCTATGTTTCTGAATGCGTCGAACTTAAGTGTCTAAATGCCTAGAAATTAATTCTCACTATTTTTTTGGGGGTGTACAGGGCAAGAAAAGGAGAGACACAATTTGCATCATTATTGCCGATGATGAATGCGAGGAATCGAAAATCAGAATGAACAAAGTTGTGAGAGCTAATCTTAGGGTTCGCCTTGGAGATGTTGTGTCTGTTCATCCCTGCCCTGATGTCAAGTATGGAAAGAAGGTTCACATCCTTCCAATCGATGATACAATTGAAGGAGTGACAGGAAGCTTATTCGATGCATATTTGAAGCGTGAGTATTCTCTTTGAAATTTATTTCCTTATTAATTGTTTGTGTCACACATCAATATTTTGTTACAATTAGACTTTGTGCTTCTGTGACATGTTTCTTTACATTCTTACTTGGTTCACAGCATACTTCGTTGAATCTTACCGGCCTATGAGGAAGGGTGATCTTTTCCTGGTTCGGGGCATGATGCGAAGCGTTGAGTTCAAGGTCATGGAGACGGACCCTGCTGAGTACTGCATTGTTGCGCCAGATACTGAGATTTTCTGTGAGGGAGAGCCTGTCAAACGTGAAGACGAGGAAAGACTAGAGGATGTGGGATATGATGATGTTGGAGGTGTTAGAAAGCAAATGGCCCAGATACGCGAGTTAGTAGAACTGCCTCTTAGACATCCGCAGCTCTTCAAATCGATTGGAGTAAAACCCCCTAAAGGCATTTTACTCTATGGCCCACCCGGGACTGGAAAAACTTTGATTGCAAGGGCTGTAGCGAATGAGACTGGAGCGTTCTTCCTTTTGATTAATGGACCTGAAATAATGTCCAAGATGGCAGGTGAAAGTGAAAGCAACTTGAGGAAGGCGTTTGAGGAAGCCGAAAAGAATGCACCCTCAATCATTTTTATTGATGAGATAGATTCTATTGCTCCAAAGAGAGAAAAGACCCACGGTGAAGTGGAAAGGCGTATAGTTTCCCAGCTTCTGACTTTAATGGATGGCCTTAAGTCCCGTGCGCATGTCATTGTCATGGGAGCAACGAATAGGCCAAACAGCATCGACCCTGCTCTGAGGAGATTTGGAAGATTCGATAGAGAGATTGACATTGGTGTGCCGGATGAAGTTGGAAGATTGGAAGTTTTACGAATCCATACAAAGAGGATGAAACTTGCAGACGATGTAAGATTTTCTATCCTCAAATTTTGATATATCATATTGTTTTGTCTTGCATTGCGATAAAGCATGATAATTAACTTGGTGTTTTGTTACTATAACAGGTTGATCTCGAAAGAGTTGCAAAAGATACCCATGGTTTTGTTGGTGCAGATCTTGCTGCTCTCTGCACAGAGGCCGCACTCCAGTGCATCCGTGAAAAAATGGATGTTATTGATTTGGAAGACGAAACGATTGATGCTGAGGTGTTGAATTCGATGGCTGTGACAAATGAACACTTCCAGACCTCGTTGTCCTCTACAAATCCCTCTGCCTTGCGTGAAACTGTAAGTTTTATGTATTTATTTCAATTTTTGTTTATTTTTAAGTTTAGGAGTAGCAAGCTTTACTTGTTTAGAAGTTGCTACTCAGAAAATCTATGGACTTGAGAATGACAAACTTGTTTTCTTGGTTTACAGGTTGTGGAGGTACCAAATGTCTCGTGGGATGCCATTGGTGGGTTGAACAACGTCAAAAGAGAACTTCAAGAGGTTTGTGATTCGATTTCATCTTCTTCTTCTTCTATGCATAATTTCTATGGACCAAAATTTTTACCAATTCCTTTACCTTTTGCAGACTGTTTCAATGCCCGTGGAGCATCCAGAAATGTTTGAGAAATTTGGCATGTCGCCTTCTAAAGGCGTTCTCTTTTATGGACCGCCTGGCTGTGGGAAAACTCTTCTCGCCAAGGCAATTGCCAGCGAATGTCAGGCCAACTTCATCAGTATCAAAGGACCCGAGTTGCTAACAATGTGGTTCGGAGAAAGTGAGGCAAATGTGCGCGAGATATTTGACAAGGCTCGCCAATCTGCTCCTTGTGTTCTCTTCTTTGATGAGCTAGACTCAACTGCAACTCAGGTACTTGAGATTATTTTATTTTATTTGTTTCCTTTCAATCACATTCAAATTTATGTTTATTGGTTAATTTACTTGTTTATTTTGAGAATAACTATTTTTCGCTTTGAACTAACTCACGAACCCCCTCCTCTATCAGCGTGGAAATTCTGTGGGAGATGCCGGTGGTGCTGGAGACAGAGTCTTGAACCAACTTCTAACTGAAATGGATGGAATGAATGCAAATAAAACCGTCTTTATCATTGGGGCAACAAACAGGCCAGATATTATTGACCCGGCATTGCTCAGGCCTGGACGTCTTGACCAACTTATCTACATCCCACTCCCAGATGAGGCTTCGCGCCTTCAGATTTTTAAAGCATGTTTGCGCAAGTCCCCCATCTCTAAGGATATTGACCTAGCAGCTCTTGCCCGTTATACGCACGGTTTTAGTGGTGCAGATATCACTGAGATATGTCAACGTGCCTGCAAATATGCCATCAGAGAAGACATTGAGAAGGTAAGAGGTTTTCTCCTACTTGAATTAATTACTTGCAGCACAAGCAAGAAGCCTAATTGCAGAAGAAAATTTATGCTCGTTAAAAGATTTTTTTTTTTTTTTTTCCTAAGACAAAATTCCCTTAACATTCCTTCACATACAAGAAACCTAATTGCAGCTTTAACATGATTCATAGATGCTTGTTGAAATTTATTCTTCACGTTCCTGAAAATTGTACTAATCTTTTCCTCCTTTCAAACATTTATAGGATATAGAGAGGGAAAGAAGAAAGAATGCTAACCCCGAAGCCATGGAAGAAGATGAAATTAATGAGGTAGCCGAGATCAAGCCAGCACACTTTGAGGAATCAATGAAATATGCCCGAAGAAGTGTGAGTGATGCGGACATCAAGAAGTACCAGCTATTTGCTCAGACTTTGCAGCAATCTCGTGGGTTTGGATCCGAATTTCGATTTCCTGCTCAACAGACAGAGAACAATGCAGGAGAAGCTGCTCTATCCCCATTTTCTTCAGCCGCAGTTGCTGGAGATGAAGCTGATCTCTATGATTGAGAACTACAACCAATGCCTTTTAGATAATGTAGGTAAATGTTTTAGCTTTGAGGTTATATTTTGATGTGGAAGATCTGTAAATTTCAAGGTAATTAAATATTTAAATTTGAGGTTGTATTTTCTTATGCTATAAATTTTTGGATGAAAAGTAAAACAGACTTCATTTTTTGTACTACTGAATTGGGTAAAGTAAAAATAACTTTAATTTTCAGACGTAAATTTTCTCCCAACAAATTGAAATTCACAAATCAAATTAAGGTAGCACTGTTACTTGCAGATGGAGTCACTGCTTTTCTTAGAGATTTGCAGACAAGTATGATCACAAAACCCTAAGTTGGCCAACTAATTACCTTGTAGCTGAAGTGCAAGTATTGCCCAAATCAAATGGTGCTACATGATTAGTCGTGCACGCTCGCGCTTGGGACGGAAATGCCCATGCGTCCATGTTTTGTGCGTCCCACAAGCATGAATGGCGAAAATTCAAAAGATGGCGCTGGAACGCATGGTTCCTAGAATTAACGCTTGCTATTTCACAACTGTTCCTGGCGTTTCCATTTCCATACAATGTGAATGACAAAGAACAAACGTATCATGCTTGCTTGCCTTGTTTCTTTTGGCCTATGGGCACTTGAGTGCTCCGAAGTATCTGATACTCTGAATCTTTTAACCTTTAAATCTTTATATTTTAGGGTCTGCTGTATATATATACAATTCTGTCCCTCATGATCTACACTGAGAATCTTTCATGTGTACTATAAAAAGAAAAGTGTATATTAAGACCAAGAACAGAAGAGAGATCTCAGATCTCACATGGGACATTATCTAGCAGCGCACCACGTGAGCTTAAGCAAGCAAAGGGCTCACCAGAGAGGTGGCTTTTTTCTTCTTCTTTGCTGTCTACCCTTCTGCACAAATATGGAAGATAATGCTAAATTCAATAGAGTTAAAATGCAGAATACTCTTATAATACCGTTTTTTTTTAATCTAAATTGCATAAGAGGATATTCAAACTTGGGTGTATGTAAATAGAAGGGAGCACTGTTGAAGAATGCAAAACATCCTGTGTCAAAAACATGACAGAATAAAGCATAACTTATAATGAGTAGTTTCACTTCTAATTACAGTTAGGTCTTTTGCGATAAAAATTCACACTACTAAGCTAACAAATAATTAAGTTGAGGGAATATACACAAGTGCTTGACGCATTAGTAGTGGACCTTTGATCCCCTCTTTGATATCTTAACAAGCGCAACTGCTCTAAACAATGCAGCTACAACTATGATTGGATAAAGAGTTTGAAATTATTTAGGGTGGTTCTATTAACACCCTATTTTTATTTTCCACACAATCTTTGTTAATTTTTTTTATTTGATATTCTTTAATTTATTTAATTTGTCGACCAAAAATGAAAAAAATGTAAAAAAAATAAAACAAGGTGTGTGCGAATATCATCATCCTTTATTGGTTACAATTAAGCAGCCTACATTTCTCTGCCACACACATAAAACGAGATGAGAAAAATCTTCAAACCCGACCCCCCCCCCCCACCAACACACACCCACCCACCCAAAAAAAAACTCCTTACCAAGTTTGCAGGCACAACAAATTAAAATAAAATAAGACATTGCATTCGCAATCTGCATGCACACAGAATACGCATCCATCAACACATCCCCTCTCCTTTTTTGAGAAAGAAATTTGGAAAATGACTTCACATTCAAGCAATATTAGTTTTGTTGTCCCCCTTCTCTCTCTTTCTCTCTCATTGTCATACATTAATGGATTACAAAAATTGTGTGCAAAAGGCTTGTTCTTTACCTTTTAGAACGAAGCTGCGTTAAAAACATTTTGCGGGTTTACTAATCCGTAATCAAATTAAAAGAAATTGAATTGATGAAGAATTGAATTGAAGAGGAATTGAAATGAGGTGGAATTAGAATCAGATTTCTGTTGAAGTTGTTTACTAAAACTGTTTGGAATCGGAGTAGGAATGATATTGAGTCCATATAAGTTGTTTACTAATTCACTTCAATTGGAATAAAAACTAGGTTGATTACTATATTGCCCTTACATAAATAAATTATTTTCATACTAATTAATTATATTAAATTCTTAATTAAATTTATATAATAAAATTCATCTATATAAAAATATATAAATGGGCTTTATTTATTTATTTATTAAAAGATGGCAGGAATGATGTTGAATCCATAAAAGTTGTTTACTAATTTACTTCAATCGGAATGAAAACTAGGTTGATTACTAAATTGCCCTTACATAAATAAATTATTTTCATACTAATTAATTAAATTAACTTCTTAATTAAATTTAAATAATAAAATTTACCTATATAAAAATATATAAATAGGTTTTATTTATTTATTTATTAAAAGATGGCATAATGAGTGTCAAATAAAGGGCAATGTTGGAATAATCAGAAACAAGTGAGGGCATAATTGGTAGAAGAAATCCATTCCGGATTCCTCAAGTGCCAAGAAATTGAAATACCTCCCTCATGGAGGGAGTCAAATTCCTTCAAAATTAGGAGTTGGATTCCTTAATGTGTGTAGACCCTACATGTATTTTGATTCCACAAGATTACGTAAACAAAGATGTATCCCGTAATCGGAATCTAATTCCGTAAATTGATTCCGATTACGGGTACGTAAACGTGCCATTAAGGTTTTCAACTAAACGCAGTAAGTGCTTTTGACTGTCAGAAAAACACTTACAAAATTTTGATCAGTCCACTAACCAAAAACAAAGAGAAAAAAAAATAAAAATAAAGAAGGCCATTACCCTAAAGGCCCAATATATCTGCACCCAGATCCAATACGGCCCACATTTTTTCCCACTGAGTAACTGCCTAAATCGACTCGCTGAAAAAAAAAAGGAAAAAAAAAAAAAAAAACTAAAAAGTGGCGCAAACTTTCATTTTTCAAAAAATAGTTCCAACTGTGTCACCGACTCTCCCTCTTTCTCAGTCACTCACTCCTCAGTCTTCAGCAAATGGACGGCAAACCAGAGGAGTCCGTACGGACGAAGATGGAGTCGCTACGGATGGCCTGCGAGAGTGAGATTCCGATCCACCAGCAGGATTTGGATGCCTTCGCGGCGTCGTTTCGGGACTCCCTGGCTTCCGCTCGCGCCACCGCACAAGAAACCCTCCGGTCCCAAGGTCCAGCTTGTCATTTAACTCTTTTATTTACTTGATTTTTTTCATAAATTTACTTCGATTTAGGGTTTATATCTGCGTTTTCTTGTAATTCGTGCATAAATTTGGGTTCTTGAGTCGAGTGAGGATGCGTGGCTCGTGCGAAATTAGGGTTTCGGATTTAAATTTTTGTAAATCTCATTTGGCTGAAGTTTGTTTTCTTTCGAATAATTGCAGGTAAGTTAGGAGAGGCTAAAGCTAATTTGAGGGAAGCTGAGGATGATTTGTTTAAAGCCCTAGCAGGTATATCCTCTGCATTTTGTATTTATAATTTGGATGGAAATTAGAAATTACTTGGAAAATTTGAAGTTAAAATTGCAAAGAAATTACACTAATTTTATTGTTTAGTAGTAATATCCCTGAAAGCTAATCAATTTAATTGCTGCTTTTGCTGTGATTAGCTGAAATCTTTTTTCTTTTAAGATATATTTTTCCTTCGTCAAATTAATCTGTGTTAGTTTATATTTCTTATTGTTCTTTGTAGTGAAGACCCGTAAAGAGGCCAAGCGAATGGCATTGATGGAGGCCATTGAAGCTAGGAAAGCTAGGATTGAAGTACTTAAGAGAACAGTGCAAGATCAAAGGGCTAAGAGGGATGAATATGCTGCAATCCTTTCTCAGCAATCTTTTGGTAATTTCCTCTGATTATTTCAGTTATTGGCACCATCGCTGATTTGTTGTTATAGCTTTCTATCATTTTATGTACTTATTAATAGTTAAACTTTTGCTCTTGTTTGATTGCATTCTGGCTTTTTATTGGAGGGGGACTCGGTTTTTCAAAGGACATCGTATATGATTGTGATTCCAAATTTCGTTACTTTTTTTTTTTAATTTTAGTAATGTTCAAACATTGGCAGAGTCTGAAGAAAATTGTATCGGAGACGGAAAGGATGAAATAAAAGAGGCCATCTCGTGGTATAATAGGGTTCTTGGTTTCTACATTGAAGGCGGACATGGTAATTGAAGTTATTTGATTGTGCAACATTTCTCATATATCTATTATGGGGAATGACATACATCCTTCTGTGACTAGGTGTAAAATTCACATTCAAGAACATTAGTTTGAAGAATCCAGATCAGGAATTCTGTTTCACCGTTCGCCATGCAAATGATACTTACACCTGTAAGTATTGTACCTCTTATTTGTAGGGTTTAGTTTAATCTTGAATATACATCTTATATTGTGTATCTCAAACTTTCTAATATTCCCTTTCTTTTAATGTCTAGTGGTAGATTGTGATCCGTACTTGAACGAGACCAAAGAGATGATTCATGAATTGAACAGAACCAATGAGTTATTTAAATTTGTCAGAGATATCAGAGTTAAGTTTCAAGAAGCCGCGGCTCAAGGTAGACCTTCTCTCTTGCATTTCATCTAAAATCTTCCATGCTGGAAAGGGAACATCCTCAAATAGTGGCCCTGTATATTATTCCAAAATCTGTCATATTTCCTGACTCTAGTGCACGTATTGATGTATGTTATTGATTTTTGTGTTCATTATGATTCAACAGGATTACCAACTGTTCTTCCTCAAGATTCTTCCACAATTTCTGGGTCTGCTCCAGTTTTGTCTGTCTCAACTGGGAGAAGTGAATCTCTGGCTGAGATCTATGACCACCAAGTTCAATATGGAGAAGAAAATAGACATTTCAAGAAACCCAACCATGGGAAGGGGAGTAAAGCAGTAATTCAATCTCCTGCCTCTGCATTATCTATGCGTCGGTCTCCTCGTTTAAGGGTATTTTCTAATTTTACATTTATAGTTTTCCTTCTCTTCCAAGTTTCGGCTTGTTATTTGTTTTCATGACTCACAGTGCTTGAATGCTCTTAATAAGTTTTTATTTACTTTGTAAAAGAAAACCGTTAGTGCAAAATTCTTTTGATAAAATATATTGAAAACTATGGCAGGTTAAGAAATGAAGACGGAGGAGACACTGGATGAGGTTGATGTTCATAATTGGCAACCACAAATGCTTGACGTGTAAGACAAGAAAATTGATTTCTGTGTTCATATAACTTAAGTAGACAGAAACAGCCCAACATGACAGCACCACCTTGTTGCTGGGTTTGTTTCACTTGTGTTCTCTTCAGCGCCTTCATTGAACTGAACAGCTAATGGGTAATGAATATGTAAGGCTTGTAAACCCAAAAACTGTTTCGCTGTTGTAATCCCTAAAACTGTTTCGATGTGTGTGTTTTTGCTCTTTGTAGTAGAGGCATCGGCTATGGGGATGTATCTTCGTTTCTCTTCTTCACAATTTGTTCATTTGTAGCTTCACTTTCACTTTTCAAGAGTGCCATGATAGAGGATGTTTTCCGGTATCTCTTTTTTTTTTTTTTAAGTTTTGACGATGCATTAGGGATATGTCCCCTCAGGGTTTTGCAAGAATTATATATTATATGCTAGTAGGATCTAAGATTTTGGTTACGAAATTTCTCAACTTCAGATGGTTCAATGTGCAAAGTCCTTGATTCAAATCTGTTATAGGCCTTTAAATCCCACCCCCTCTTCACCCCACCCCCCACCCCCCACCCCCCCCCCCAAAACCCCCCAAAAAAGAGAGGAAAACTAATAAAAAGAGCTTGAAAACTTTGAGTTTTACCGATATGGACAAAATAAAGGGTAAAGCGTTTAGTACCAAGATTGATTTTTTAGTGTAAAAATGTAGTTTTTGATTAAAGTAGACAGTATTGAGAGCTTTTCGTTTAAGTTCTCAAAAAAACCCCTCCAGCACACACTAGGCCAAGGGAGCCCGATTGTTCCACTAGACAGGAATATACGGCCTAGCGACTAGGCTGTGACGCAAGGTTGACATCAACATGATATCGGCTAAATATTAAAAATACAGGAAATTAAAAAGAAAAACCCTAACCATGCTCTTTCACTTTTGGTTAACAATTATATCCGAAGTTAAAAATAAAATTATCTTTTATTATTTTATTAAAATTTTTTTTTTTTTAATACTAATAGTCTAGGTTATTCAATTTAGAGGAAGGGAGATGCACTTAGGCGGTTACGGTTCACTTAGGGGATTAAGTTGCCTATAGCTCAAGAGGGCTTTTAGGGGTGGAATTTCTCTTATTGTATATGCTTCCACGAACATGCATTGTTTTATGGACTGAATCTATCATGTTTTCGGCAAACACAAGCAGCCAGAATTGCATATAGCAGCCGAATTTCCAATCTTGTCATGTAAATATCGAGTCTATTGTACAAAAACAGTGCCAACATACGGTATTTAAGTTCTTTCCGTTATTAAATCACCTTGGAATTTATACAACCATTCTTAATTTTTGGTGGGAAAAATTTTCGGAGTCACGGTCACACTACCACATATTGTTACTTCATGCCGCATCATGATTATTTGGTTCCGGAATCTGTTTATTATGTAGTCCTGATGTACTAGGCCTCTCTATCTTTTGCTTATATAAATCCCCTTATATACATGGCTGAATGGCAGAGGGATGGACTACACATTTTCGCTTTTATCTAGCTGTTGGTTGGGAAAGGCGTCTATGGATTAGCAGACGAGTCTGCTTCCATAACTTATGAGCTTCAGATTCATCATTTGCTAGTTTCGAGCAGTCGCTCTCGTTGCAGTCTGCAAAGTATTTCCCACTCACTTCTTCCAGTTCCGGGCTTAAAGCAACATAGCAAGCTGTTGAAGCACCCTGAGATGTCGATTTTAGTAACTTGGACGCGATGAAGAAGACAGAATCTGCATGGGAAGAAATGTTCCAGAAAATTAGATTTCTTTTTGCAGTACTGCGACATTAATTCACATTTAAACGTAGATCAAAGGGACAAATCCGTGCCTGTGATGAAGCCCTTATGAGCTCTTATAATTCCGGTCTTTACAACTCCCGGGTGTACTGCGTTAATCGTTACTTTTGCATTTCTTGCCTGTATGTTCAAGAAACGCTCCGGTTAGAGATTGTTATGTATAACCGGCACATACAAAAAAAAAATTCTTCGGCAAAAAGGTGAAACAAAATATACAAGACTAGCTACCTTAAGCTGTCTTGCCAGTTCCTTGGCGTGCAATACGTTTGCCAGTTTGGACTGTGCGTAAGCTTTTGTACCATTATAACTGCAAGAACAAACATGATTAGTGCTTGTACAAATATTACTAATCACGGTTTAGTAATGGTTAATTAGGATTAAGTGTGATTAATTTACTTCTTAGGGTTGAGCAATTGGTTGAAGCGGAATTCATCTCTCTTAACCCAGCTGTGGATCGCAGAAGAAACGTTGATTATTCTCCCTCGGATGTCGGTCTGAGCTGCTGTTTCCACCATTTTTTCCAGCAGCTTTTCTGTCAAAAAATGATGTCCTGCCAGCAAGGAAAGGACTGAACGGTCATGCGCTTTCCCAAATGGGCCTTATGACAAGAATCAAAAGCATGTTCTTGTGGAAAATCCAAAAACGTGTCTTGTGGATAATTGTACACAATTTATAGGGCACATGAGCATGGCCCAATTTTTCTGGTCATCGTTTGGGAAGGAGCGAAACTTGTATCAGAGCTGTAGAGCAATTGAGGTCATTGATTGTATGCGAACACCTCATTCATGTCCTAAACTAGGGTTTCTTCTTTGGCTAGTTCACAGTTATTTTCACGTGATATTACTAATTAACATATTTTAATATGAGTAGATGGTATATATTTTTTTTCTTACAATCGCCGAAAAATATCATTAGATTGTAGTATTAGTGATAACTAAATGACATAGTTTAGTAGTCATTGAACTTATAATATAATATTAATTGGGGTGTGCTATCCACACACTCCATTTTACTTCTTACACACCCCTTGATAATTTTTGTCCGTTAATTTTTTTCAATTCATTCGATCCGACAGCTGAAAATTAAAAAAGTTTGTGAGAAGTAAAATGAGATGTGTGGATATCACATCCCTATTAATAAATGAATGCACGTGTTATAGCAAGAGTAAATTTGGAACACCAGGTGGATGTGTGAGTGTGATGGTCGAACACAAAAGTTTCTCATGGATAGTGAAATAGAAAGTTACCCAAGTAATTTGTAGCAAATGTCATCTCAATTTTGTCTTCAGAATATTCCAAAGCCTGAGAAAACATCCCACCATTGTTTCTACAAATTGTGAAGATTTCATGCATTAGTACCAAACACAAACACAAATACACACACTGTATTCATATATACATATGTATAATAGAACATGTTAACTTTGAAGAAACTTACATGAGGATGTTGAGGGGAAGTCTTAGAGCTAAGAACTCAGAACAAAATCTATCAACAGAAGCGAGTGAGCTCAGGTCAATCTCTAAGAGTATAACCTCAGCCTCTGGACTCTCCCTTTGAATCCCCTCCTTCACTTCCGCCGCCTTCAATAAATCTCTCGCCGGAATCACGACCCTCACTCCTCTCTTTGCCAGCACTCTTGCCGTTTCAGCTCCGATCCCTGACGTTGCTCCTGTAATTCCCAGGTAATAGAGTAGTTTAATTAGGTCAAACCTTAGGGATAGTGCATAGTTAAATGGTCAGAAAGCACTTGTGATATGGAGAGCAACTCGGAAACAATAGAAAACTATTCAAAAGAGACAAAACTATATCTTGCTAGAGCAAAAAAGAACCACTAACAAGAAATTAATATAAAATAGTAAATAAAATATTCTAGCGTATCAAAATTTGGTGGGATTGATAAATGTTTTAATATATTTTCCAGGCGATGAACTTTATGTTTCCATCCAAGAAAGCATGGATTGAAGGGTTCTGCAAACCCTTCATTTTTCATGTCAAGATGAAGCGAAACAAATGAGATCGGGAAGAAAAATAATCAGTTAAAGAGAGAGATATAGAGCCAGAGGGTTAGCAAAAGAAGAAATCTTTGAATTATGCCACTGAAAATTAACAAAAACATAAAAGAAACTTCATCATATCTATGGGATTACTACAAATGAGAGCAAAATCAAATGAGAGCAAGAAGAGAAAAATGGCTGGAAATAGTAAACAATCACTTAATTTCATGAGACTGAAAAAGCAAGAGAAAGCAGTAGAGAACAGTACAAACCATTTTTCATGTAACCGTACGTAGTAAAAGCCGGTAAACAAACAGAGAGAGAGAACCTGAGAAATCTGAAATCAACTATACTATATATTCATGTGTTCCAATGTTTTTCTGATCAGAAATCTCTTTGGTTTTATGAGAGAAACTGGATGGTTCTGATAAACTTACCAGTGATTATGGCAGTGAGTTGAGAAGGGACTGAGGAAGAACAATCTTGGGTGACTTGCTCAGCAGTTGAATTTGAGCCATAACCACTTGGGCCTGCAATTCCTGCCAAGTACCTTAGTGTCTCCTTCATGGGGCTCTCAAAAACAAATAATCGTAGCTAGAACTGCAATTCTGCAAAGAAAGAGCTACTTTTGGTGGAAAGTGGAAAATCACATAAATTTATAGTAGCATGTATACAGAAGAATTGAGTATTTCTAGGGTACTAAATGGACCACCATAGTTAAGGTGGTCTCAACCAATAAACACAATTTGTCAACCAATGAACTCAATTTGTTGAATTTTCTAATACCAGTCAAATGAAAATGATTGATTAAGGTGGGCTAAGTGTTTTTGAGTATTTACAACTTTAGGGTTTTGGGGAAACCCTATAAACAAAAAAAATGCACCCATTGCTTTTTGTCTTTGTCTCATCTAATTGTTACTGTCTATGCCCCTCACACTCAATGGCTTTCATTTGCATTATATTTTGTGATGGATAGGATGTGAGTTTGTCATTTTCAGTGGGGTAATGTTAGGGAAACTAAATTTAAAGACTAAATTTGCAAACTAAATAATGTGTCATCAATATAAATAAGCATGTTTATCAACGTTTAAGTAATAAACCAATCATTAACTTCCATGCCCTTTAGTTTCCAAAACTTTGTCTACAAATTTAATCATTCTAGCATTATTCTTTCCAGTGGCATGACTTCTGATTTCAAGTGATTTTTATTGCTTATTTAAAGAATTAAAGTTAGCATTATGTATAATTAATCATCATCATATCCATCACAATTCACAACAAGAAAAAGTATCAATGTAGGATATTCTTAAGTAAAATGGTGGTTGAATGTTGCCGGCACTTTTTGTATCTTTTAAACTTGGATCTGATCGATTTCGATGGCCACAATTAACCTTTGCGTATTAGATAATTTCTTCTTATCAATCATCTCCGGAGAAACCAATGTCCTCTAATGCCGGCCAAAGCTAAAGAAAAGTAATAATAATGATGTTGTGTTTATATTATTAGGTGTTTGATTGCTTGTTTAAGTATAAATTAAGATTAAT